TAAAGTAGTAATGTTAGACGTATAAAACATAAAAAAATATACGTTTATAGGGCGGACATTTTCACATATATATTGGGTAGCATATCAACAGTATCCATACGTATATTGTAGTACATAAATAAACGTATTTTATACTAAAGTGAATTCGTATAAATATAATACAACTATAAATCTAATATAGACGTATAGTAAAAACGTTTAATTTATAGGTGGATAAATTCTTAGTAATCGACGTTTATAGGGCGGACATTTTCACGAATATATTTGGTAATACATCAACCGTATTCATACGTATGGTAGTACCTAAAAAAATACGTAATTTATACCAAAGTGTGCTGCCTGGGTGTATAAAAAAAAATCAACACTACAACTATTAGATACCAGATAACAAAGAATGATGCGCATGCGGATCTATTACTAATCTACTCACAGAGAGGATCATATATAATACCTATTGATCTCGATCACAAAACTGGTTCAGTAATCTACTAGTTTCCAAACACGGATAGGGATAGTAACCATAAGTAAACAAACAATAATCTTTCTAATCCGAGTAAGTTTTCGAAAACACCTATTGCAGTTAATTAAATTGCATTTTAAGTTAGTTAAAATCTATCTTGAAAAAGTGTCGGAAATCGGTACCGCACCCTATATAGAATTCCTAATTTTGATTATTTAAGCCAAGGCTATTTCAGAGCGATATTAATGTGGAAAATATTATCATGCTAAATTAAAAATTAAAATTCGATTTACAGTAATTAATGACTCACCCTGTAACTAATAATAATTTACATCATGCGTTATACTGGATATATTGTTTGATATCAGTAAAGCATTATTCTCGAAATATATCTATAATCATAGCAATTTGATGAGAGACATGCCCTTTTTAAAAAATAGCCAATTTGTACCTTCAACAGGATGAATATCAATAACTACTAGTCATAAGATTGAGTTGTTTCCACAACTGCAACATATCAAAGTTCAGGAAATTTCACCAAATCCCATTTCTGCAATTCAAATACCTAGGCATAAAATAAGATACCTATATACAAGGTGTCCCATTTAAAAAACAAACTTTGATATGTACCTATCTCTTTCCTGGAAACGCTTAGTAATTGATATTATTTTCAAATTGTTGCCTCTTCTGATATACATCTCGCTGTGAAATCATATTTAAGAAAAATCAATTAGCTAGTTTTGACTCTATACAGACCGAGGCGTTATTGGCGGCCCACCCTGTATGTTATGCAGAATGATTCACTTTTTTATTATTATTATGGAAAATCATAAATAGATTCCCTATTTTTGGATTCAATTGTAATTAATTCAGTTTTAATTTAGGCAGTGTATTAATATTTTAGAAGAAATTCAGTTTTTTATCTAATAAATAAATTACCTATATCCTTAGATTAAATCTAAGCCTACATCCTACATTGATCGTCCTGTTAAAACTATCGAAAACAGTTTGAATAGGTAATTCCTGGTTTTACAAATATTTATGTATACGCTAATCTATGATGTTATAGCTTGCAAAGAAACCCGTGGAAACTCTCTCGAAGCTCCTAGGATAGGATTTATTCCGATTTATACCTGTTATCTTCCCAAATCGTCACAAATAATAACCTACGTCTGCGAGATTATGAACTTTATTTCGTGAAAAATTACTGAAAGATCTGGAGAAATATTTTTCTGTGTATCAAGTCCGGTAGCTAAGCATATATTTACAGTAGGTGCAGGTCGAGACTTGTTATTGTACTATTAAATAAATAAAATAATATGTGCTATAAATAGACTCACCTTTCTGTATGCTTATAAATTTGTTAATGTCTTGATTTACACAACCATGTGGCTCACTAAAAAAAATATTTTCCACTTTTCCTACACTACATATATATGTATTTTAAAATTTTAATTCTAAAATGACAACAACGATCAGTTTTCTTTAAACATAAAACACAAAATCTCAGAACTCAGAACGTGAACTAATGATGGGCGATGTTCATCGATGTTTTGAAAACATCGATGTTTTGTATTCGATGGTCGATGTTTTTGCCATCGATGTTGATTGCATCAGATATCGATATTACCATCGATGTTTTTCGAAAACATCGAACGAAATTCGTACACGTCGAAACTGGACTTTATTGTAACATTTTATTAACAATGTGACTAACTCCCGTAACTTCAGTATTTTTTTGCTTATACTAGATTTGACCGCAAATAAGATGAACCTTGAAATTTTAAGTAGGTCATCCTGTATTTCATCTAATATTCTTATAAAAATGCCTTATTAAAATAAAATTTAGCTAGCATCTATGCTTCTTTACTTCTTATTTATCTACTAAAAGGGGCTAATAACCACCTTTAGTACCTAAATATTCTTATAAAAATACTTTTTAAAAACAAAATTTCATTAGCAACAAAGCCTATTGACTTCTTATTTAAATTAAATGTTCAAAATTTTACACTTTTGTATATTTATGTAAATAATATGCAATCTGTTTTCTGAAATATGTATTTGATGCTTAATATTTATTGAAACCCCTTAATGCGGATCTGAAGTATTCAACCCAAAGGATCATGGCGCTTAATGTCAAAACCAGAGTCAAAACGTTAATAAATTAGGCATTCCAACGACCTGTCAAACAATAGATACCAGTGGGAAATTCTTGTATATTTAAGGGGGTAGCGACATAGTCTTGCAACTTGGACGCTATTTTTATTCGAAGTAGTACTCGCCAAGCCTGCCAATTTATGAAGAAATGTATAGGTGGGTTTTTTAAATATTATTTTTATTGTGTTTGACATAAAATATTTAAATGTAATCCATTATTCATGATTTTACGTAAAGTAGATAGAATACACCATATGTCGCCACCCTTAGATATACCAAACCTGCCCACTGGTAATTCATTTGTTTGGAATGCCTAATATTTACCGCTGAAAACGAATATATTTTTTATCTTTCATAACATTGGTACTTGTATTATAAATATATACAATTTTTCAAGATACATCGTGTGGCATTTTAAACTTAAAATTGAATAACTAGAACACTTTAAATTGCTAAAACACCAATAAATAAATCAAAACAGCTGTCAATGGTGATTGAACTCAGGCGGAGGTGAGCGTTGAATGGAAAAATCGGAGCAATTCGGGTGGCGTCGTGCAAACAATGATTTTCAATTGGTGGGTTACTTGGGGTTAAAATAGACAACATGCGCAGTGTGCAATGTTACATCTTCGGTCTCTTTAATCTAAGGTAATACCACTTAAATATGATGTGTACCTCTAACTTTCAAAATATATAAGGTGATTTATTTGTTCGAAGATATTCCATTTTAAGAAAAGTACAAAAACCGCACTAACTCTCTACTAATTTGGTAATATAATTGTCTTCTTCAATTTGGCATCCATCTATTCAGGTGTTTGTAAAAAATGTTCACAACTTTATTTGAACAAATTTGTAAGACTATAGGCATTTCAAACTGGGTTTTGACAGGTTATGATATGGCCAAATTATGGCAACCCTGTAGGTCTGGTGATTTGACAAGGTTAATGAAATAGATAGTTACATAGATTGATCCATATTTTTCAAAATAAACATAAGCTTATGCCTTGAAAAATGTAGGCGATTATTATTTTTTAAATATCTAAAGGCTGAAAATTGGTTTTAAAACACATTTTTCCTAAACCAATTCAAATTAATAAATATTTGCCAGGCATTTTGGCCGCTCGCAAACCACTAGCTTTGAGCAATCTAAATAACTATACAGTGAGCGCCATAAGTCTTACCCCCCCTATCTAACTCGTTACTGTTAGGAAAATCGCTGAGACACGTTGATTTTTAATTTCTACAATGTACATTTTTGTATAAATAGTTTACCCTTAATTTCATCCCTTACTGGAGGGGAGCAACCCTTTCGAAAAATTTAAATAGCATGGGGTGGTGAGTGATAGCTTATTTGAAAGAAGGTTTTATTCTCTATTCAACCATGTAAAAAAAATTGAAATTTGCTTCATTAATTCTCGACTAATTGTTGTTTCAGGATAACGGAAATTAACGTAGCGCACTCATCCTTAGAATTAAAATACGACCCTGCATGATTTCGGTTTTGGTTCAGACGTGAAGTAAGACTTTTTGTCATTAGAAGGTCACTATTAGTTTAGTTACTTTCCTATTTTGTGAGGTTTTGTTATTTTTAAACATTAATAAATCAACACGTAATGAAACAAATTTAAAATTTTTTTGTACGGTTGAATAGAGAATAAAACCCCCTTTCAAATGAGCTATCACTCACCACCCCATGCCATTTAAATTTTTCGAAAGGGTTGTTCCCCTCCAGTAAGGGATGAAATTAAGGGTAAACTAATCATACAAAAATGTACATTGTAGAAAACAAAAATCGACCTGTCTCAGCGATTTTCATAACAAGACTCCAGTAACGAGTTAGTTAGGGGGGGTAAGACTTATGATGCTCACTGTATATGTATCATTGACCCTGTTAATGACAACAGGGTTGCCATATCTAAACTGTAGCCATTTGGACCTCAGAGTAAGTTATCTAAGATTTAGACAGGTTGTTGGAATGCCTAATTGGTTCAGTTTCTCAGACCTATTTTTGCAATATTGATTGACATAATTATTTCATTTTATTAAATTAATTGAAATATACGCCGAGGAATTAGAATTATATCATTGCTTTTCAAATTTCGCGCCAGGCTTAAGTCATATTATTCCCATTAGCCCGTTCATTCTAGATGCCCATAGATGCCTAATGCAGTGGCGGGTAACAAAAAACATACATTAAAAAAAATATCTTGAGAACTAGAAATTGAAAAAAGTACTTGCCACAAAAGTTGATTTGCTATGAATACATTTCATATTTTAATCAAGCAGCTAGTATTTACTGTACTCTAAAGATTAATAACTACATTAGATTGGTAGTCGCAGAAATACCATTTAATTACCAGAAAATGAAAGCACAAAATTCTTTCAAAAAAAATCTGTTATTATTATTTGTAAACATAGGTACATAATAAAACAAACTTCAGATTATTACATTAGAAATTTCTGAAGTTGACTTAATAAACATAAAAGTGTACTACCATGCCCACTTCTCGGACCTGTTTGGATTTTGTTTCTTCGGTCTTCTATATTGTTCTGTCTCTATTCCAGCCCCTGTAAGCGGATTGCGTGCTAAACTGGAAGATGAGACACCTTCAGATGATTTCTTATCGTTAAGTTTTTTAAAATCCATTTTTCTGTGTCGCAATTCTTTAGATGGTTCACCTCTGCTTGAGTCAATCTGAGCAATTTCATCATTTTGTTCTTCATCCAACTCTTTTGGGGAATCTAATTGCTCCAAATCTGCTTTTTCTGCTTTTACATCGCCACTAAACGTTTCAACATTTGATCTACCATATTCAAAACATTCATCTTGTAAATTTTGATGTCTCCTTTTTAACTTCATAGGACAAGACCCATTGATCGAGAACATTCCGCACCCATCGGTTACATTTTCGTTTAAACAGAATATATCGCTTGAATTCCTCATTTTTGTAGATAAAAAAATATTTAGGTAAGTACAATTTAGATGTCAGAGTTGACAAAACCGAAATTTTCTAAAAAGAATTTCATTTGTTGAGATAGTTGCCATAGTAAATATATAAATATCAAGCAGGATACACATACTAATGGTAAGCTGACTTTCGATTCAAAATTCGTCCAAACTCCAAACCGCGCATGACGTAATGCGGGACGAACTTTCAAGTTATTTTGACACTTTTCGATTGAATAGTGTAAAATAATTTAATAATTTATTTGTTTCTGTGTTAGTAGCATAGCCCTCGTTGTTAGTAGTGACTATATTTTCCTATACAGGGAAGAACTAAATTAATGTTTAAAATGCTGGGTTGCGTACAAATTTGAGTCAAACTTGTATTTTTAGTCTATTATCTTTTTCTTATCTTATGGCCAGGTTATGGATTGTGTCACAAAATACCTACCTATAATTTATGAAAAAAATTAATATTTTTAATTGTATTATTTACCTTAAACCTTCATATTTGTAAACGAATATATTACAAAATAACCAATAAAGCTTAAAGTAACTGCATAAAATCTAAAATTGGCAAAATATCGAATTTTAAACACTATCGCACATTTAATGCTTACAATTCTATGTCCCACGTGACGTCACCATTAGTTAGCTGCATGCGCAGGAACATACCGTTAGTCTGTGTATCGTGATATCAAGCATCAAACTGCTCCTTAAAAATTTGAAATGATACTCAAAATTAATCCCACACAATTTGTCTGGGATAAGTATCATTTCTTAAATTTATAAAATATCAAGTACTATTTCGTTTTTAATGTACTCCACCCTTCGACTCCACCAATGATTAATTTAAAATAAAAGAAAAATGTTGACTGGTGTCCAAGTCTGACAGAGGCAGTAGAGCAATCGATTATATATGAAATTAAGAAGAAGAAAAGGGGTTAAGAAATAAGCAATCAAAAAGAAGGTAATTTGTTTATATTTATATTTTAAAGTTTATCCAATGAATCACTATTCATTATTTTAAGCAAAAACGAAGTATCACTTTTCTTGAGTTTAACATAACTCTTAAGTAGCTAAAATGTTTGTTTTGTCAAAATTTCTAAAAGGACATTCTCGTTTGTACTGTAACATTGCTGCAAGAAATTCAATAGAACATTTAAAAAGTAGAGCATTGATTCGAGTAAAAGGAAGCGAGGCACACGATTTTTTACAGGGGCTCATGACCAATGACATGCAGCATTTAATTAAAAGTACTAGGGGCTCAATGTATACCATGTTTCTAAATACCAAAGGTAGAGTTCTATATGATAGTATTGTTTATAAGATAGAAAATGAAACGTATTTCATAGAATGTGATGTAGAAATTGTAAACTCGTTACAAAAACACATGATGTTATATCGAATCAGAAGAAAAATAGATATTTGTAGTTTAGAAAATGATTATAAAATATATGTATTATTTAACAGTAATATTATAAAAAACCAACCTCTTCCATTGACTAAAGATAATTCTGAAATTAAACTAAATGATTTGTCAGTAACAGATAAGTTAATGATATTTAAAGATCCAAGAGTAAACGATCTAGGTTATAGAATCATATCGACTAGTGATGTTGATATTAAACAAGAATTAAATAATTTAACAAATAGTAGTTTTTCTGATTCAACTGATAGTTATAAGCTATTACGCTATGCATTGGGAATAGGAGAAGGTACGAATGACCTACCTGTAGGAAATTGCTTTCCTCTTGAAAGCAATTGTGATTACTTGCATGGAGTTAGTTTTCATAAAGGATGCTATATTGGTCAGGAACTTACTGCTAGAACCCATCACACAGGAGTGGTAAGAAAACGTTTGATGCCCCTGTACTTCAAAAATCCACCAACTATTTTACCTGATGATAACCGTTTATTAGTTGATAAGAGCAACTTAGGAAAATTAAGAGGCATAAAAGATACTTTTGGTTTGGCATTATTAAGAGTAGATTTGGCATTGGATTTTGGTGAATTTAAAATAGGTAATGAAATAGCCAAAGTTTTTAAACCTCATTGGTGGCCTGTAACGTTGCCCAAGGAAAAATTAATTCAGAAGACATGATGAGATCCTTTATTTATATTTTTTATTTAAGGTAATTTTTGTGTATTCATTATTATTGATATTGAGATTTAAAAAAAGCTTATTTAAAAAGTTTGTTAAAAAAAACCAATCTACTAAATAAGCAGTTCTAAAAACTAATTTTAAGAGCAAATCGGACCTCTCATGAAAAGCAAAAATGTTGTTAAGAATTTTCTAATATATAATTTTATTTATATGTGTGCTACTATAAATACTATTATGGTGTTATGTGTCTCCTGAATATTCAGAGCTTTAAAGGACCAGGTACCTTTCTTATGGAAAAATGGCTTTCCGTCAAATTTTCTAAAATGTTAATATGTTTTAGACCTCAATGCTCTGACAAAAAGTGTCCATTGGCCCAAACCTATTCTGTGACTAGTTTTTGAAATGCCACTTTTTGTAAGCATATTTCTCATAATACGTCCGTTTTATTCACGTCTGTTGTAGAAAACATGAAATATAGATTATTTGGCACTAATATTTTATAAAAAGTTACTGTAGAAATTGGTTAATTACAGGGTAGTTAGGAAATATATATTTTTTTTTTTTTAATATTTTTTTATATTCTTGATTGTTTCGGCGTTTAATTGATTAAAATTCATATTGTTAAAATGAGAAACCAAACTTGGTAGTTTTTCACACTTTTATTTAAAAAATAAAAATTTAACAATTACTCATGTATTGTTTTGAAGTGCAATTTCTTCTTCAAATATGAAGACGTTGTACTTCGAAACAATTGGCATGTGTAATTTTTTATTTTTTAAATAAAAGTGTTTCGGAAATTTACCAAGTTTGGTTCTAGAACATATCAACATTTCAGAAAATTTGATGGAGATCAATTTTTCCATTTCCATTTTTCCAGGAAGGTGCCTGGTCTTTGTGCAACGATAAGACAGCATTCTACAGGGGCATTTAAGAAAAAAAAAGTGGGAAACCCTAGTACTAGATATTTATTGAAACAAAAAGCAGCAATTTTTTTATAGATTTAATACAGAAAATGGACTAAAAAGAAAGTCTCTGAAGACATAGAAATTTTCAAGGTGTTCGGTTTGCTTAAGATTTATATACAATTCTGATTGGTTTAAGAATAATAGTTCTAGTTCATTTTTTTTTAAATTCCTGTTTCCTAATGTATATTATAATGAACTATTTTTCAGGAAACATTGACACAAATGGAAAACCAACAAACCAATGTAGAAGATAACAAAGACAATTCCACTCCTATTCCTCAAACTGAAAAAAAGAAAGAAGAACAATTATTTTTCCAATGCACTTCTTGCATTTTTCGAACAAAATACGATTACTTTGGTAGAAATCCAACACAACTAAAAAATTACCTTCTATTAGAAGATAGTTACGTTCTAGAAGACCCGTTTTCTTCACCAAAAGAAAAAAATGTGATAATATTAGGTGCTCATTGCATTAAATGTAAAAAAAGAGTTTGTAAGAATATGAACTGTAGTTGTTACTTTGAAGGAACTTACTGTATCTGCTGTGCCAAGAATAATGTAAAAATGTTTCCAAAGGCTCTTCAAGAAAAAATAAATCGAATCGTTTAATTATCTTGTTTTATATTCTGCCATAAAATAATTTAATTAGTTATTTTCATTTAAAAAATAAACTTAAATAACTATTAGATAATAAAAACAAAGGAGAAAGGGAAAAACTCGAAGTCGCGACCTTTTGCCTGCTGAAGACAACTACTCCATTGGCTAATACCACATAACAGGTATTGTATTATTTATTTATTTAAATGGGATCAACTCCTTTATAAAGCAAAACACTTATAAATTATACAAATAAGTGTAAATTTAAAAAAAAAAAAAATTATAATTAAATAAAAGTTGATTAAGTTTTAAATTAACAATGCATTTTACGTAGTGCAAATCCATCTAATATTTAATCTAGGTGGGTCGTACAGATAACCTTAAATTTATTAAAAGAAATGCCTGTATCCTCAAGTTTCAATTGATTTATTACGCTCAATGTTCTTTTAATAGGTAAATGCACATGATAGTTTGTATTGTGAAATGAAACATATTTAATTGCCTAAGAACTCTATCAGGAATATTGAAAGAAATCATTCCTAAGAGTTCTGGGTATATGACTAGACCATTTAATAATCTATAAATAAAATTCAAAGCTAATAAGTATTCTGTTCTTAAATTTAATAGGCTCATATTCATTTAAAATCCTACTATAATTATTGTGAGCGGTTACCTGAATATTTAATTTAAAGGCAGTGTGAAATAAATTTCTAAGATACTATATCTTAGAAATGTATTTTGTATTATTTCCACTAAGATATCACGGAAAACCCCAGTATCTATAAATTGCTTAAATGAAATGTAAATAAGAGGTGTAAGGGAAAATGCAGTTTTTTAGAAATATATTTGGAATACCATCGGGTCATACACTATTTTTATTAGGAAGTTTAGATCTTTTATCAAAAATCAACTTGACAGGGAATGATAATAAAAGTGTCCAAATTACTATCACTAATCCTGTTTATATGAGAAGAGTCAGTGTACCAAAGTAATTTGCAAAATTTTCTACAACTTGCTCTCCATTTGTTGCTAGGTTACCATTATAGTGCATTATGTTAGGTAAGTTATTGCATTTCCTTTTACTGTTTATGAATGTCCAAAAATATTTAGGATTATTGTATAAAGAGTGGTTTACCTAATATAATCATTATAATATGTTCTAGACAGATTTTTACAAGCCACTCTCAATTCCAAAAAGTATCTGTACTCTTTAATATTATGAGTTGTCATGTATTTTTTTATGAGCCGATTTTTTTTTTGGCTCACGAGATAGTTCCGCACTGAACCATTTAGGAAAATTATGAGACAACATTTTTTAAGTAAGGCAAAAAGTGCAACACACGTTTACGATATGATAAAACTCATTCAAGGTAATAATTATATCATTATAGCACAATATATTCTTTCAATCAATAGCTGTAAAGTAATTGGCATTATGGAAGTCCCAACAGAAATCTGTATATTTCAGATGATTTAAATTTGACTCGCCTGTATATAATAATAATAATATAATAATAAAAATAATCTTTATTCAGCATTTTTGTTTTTGGTTACATCATAGTTGTAGGTACATTTAAATAATTTTAAATTAATAGAGTAATTGACAGGTACCTTATACATTAAAAGTATTTGCTGCCCATTTATGACCATGTGGTTGCGCATGGGCTGCCGAATTACAAACTTTTTTTTTAAATACATTATTAAAGCTTGACTTCTATAAGTTCATAAAATCTAATTACATTAATTAAATAATACATATTAAATTATAATTACTGAATAATAACAATATAAAATTATCTAAAAAACACATAATTTAAAATACATATGAAATATAAATAATAAAGATATACAAAATAAAAATATGACGTAAAAAGTATACAATTACAACTAAATTATAAAATATAAATTCGAATACTTGTATATTTAATCAATTATTTCTCTTTGGGTTTTTCTATCCGAATTAATAAGAAATTTTTTGATGATAGATTTAAAGAGTTCAACGGAATTTATGATTTGTAAATATGCCTTGTACATATCCGGAAGATAATTAAAGATTTGTGCACTTAAATAAATATAAAAACGTTGTACTATTGTTTTATTTACAAGATGGGTACCAACTTTTCCTTTATCCTTGCTTCTTGTATCATAGTTATGGGTAATTTTGTTTAATAATTGTTTATTTTTGTAGATTAGAATTATAACTGAGTATATGTATAATTGTCGTATATCCATTATTTTTACTTTCTCGAACAATGCATCTGTTGAGTATCTAACTTTTTTGTTGTGTATTATTTTTAGAATTCTCTTTTGTAATATTTCAAGTTTGGATATGTGATTTTTGGTTGTAGCACCCCAACAGACGATTGCGTATTGTACACGACTTTGGACTAAAGCATAATAAATAGTTCTTAGGTCAGTAACTTGTAAAATATTTTTGAGGTATTTAAATTTAAATAAAAGAAGTCTTAAGGTATTTGTTAAGTTATTTATATGTGCGTCCCAACTTAAATGACAATCTAGGGTAACTCCTAAATATTTTATTTCATTTTTATTTCCAATGTTATTTTCTTTTTATTATAAGTTAAGCTAATGTTACTAAATTGAGGTAGATTATTAGACTAGCTGATAAATGGTAAAACGAAAGATTTGTTGTAGTTTACGGTTAATTTTTTATGGGAACACCAGTCTATTATTATTTTTAAATCTTTTTCCGTTTTAGATCGTTCCAAGTTTCTGCTTCATAAAAAATCGCAGTGTCGTCTGCAAAACTTACTATTTCTCCTGTGGTCTGTAAATTATATAAATTGTTTACATATAATGTAAATAAAGTGGGACCTAATATAGTTCCTTGAGGAACACCGCTTTTTATTGGCCTCTCGTAACTGATTTCATTATTGATTTTAACTCTTTGAAATCTATTGTTCAGATAACTATTAAAAAGGTCAAAAGTTTTCCCACGTATCCCTATATCTTCCAAGCTAACAACTGTCTATGATCTACAGTGTCGAAGGCCTTGGCAAAATCCAGGAAAACTGCTAGACATGGTTTTTTGCAGTCAACAGAACTATAAATTTTTTTTAACAACTCACAGATCGCATCTGTTGTTGAGAGCCCGTCTCGAAACCCGAATTGTTTGTTTGAGATTTTATATTTATTGAGGTAATCTTTTAAACGTAAATTTAAGGCTTTTTCTGCTATTTTTGTAATAGTTGTTATTAAGCTAATAGATAGAGTTTGTAAACATACTCTTTTTTCCTTTTTTAAAGACTGGTACTACTAGAGATTTTTTTAATTCGGCTGGGAACTCACCTTTATCAAACATTTTATTAATTAGATTCATCAAAAGTGGTGCTAATGTATCAGAATTTTCTTTTACTAATTCTGAGGAAATATCTATTCCAGGCGATTTTTTGTTCAAAAGTGAATTAATGATATTATTTATTTCTTTTTCAGTTACTGGTAGTAGCGCAAGAGTTTTTGTGAATATTTTTGACCGGAGGTGGTGAGTTTGGGTCATCTATTTTATTTGCAAGTGATGTGCCTATTTCTGAAAAAAATTGATTAAATCTTTCTGCTATATCTTTTGCGTCTGTAATATGTTTCCCTTCATCTGTAGTTATTTCACGTATTTCTCTATTGCTTCTACTATCTCCTTGTATTTGTTTTAAAGTATCCTATAACCTTTTTGAACTATTTTTATTTTCATTTATTTGTTTGGTGTAAAAATCTTTTTTAACTTGTTTAATTAATTTATCTGTAAGTGTTCTATAATTTAAATATCGCATTTTTTTTTAATATCAAAATTCTTTTTGTGAATACTGTATAAACGGTTTCTCTCTTTTATTGACTTTATAATTCCTTCTGTTATCCATTGTTTTCTTTTTTTATGGTGGTCTTTTTGTTTTATTAATTTTGTATTGTTTTCTAAAAGTAAATTTAGAGTTTCTGTTAAGTACTTAACTTTTTCATTTACATTTTCTATAGAGTAATAAGTTTCCCAATTTTGATTAGCTAATTCTAGTTTTAGTTTATCGTAATTAATTTTTTTAACAAATGACGTTTTTGGACACACATCAACTTTTAGAGGAAAATATGCAATAGCTTTATGGTCTGTTATTTGTGTATCAAAAATAGCCGCCGTATAATTGTCTAAGGTAGGTACATTGTAACTATAAAAAATGTGATCTAAACAACTTTTTGAGGATCCCTTTTCTCGTGTATATTTATTTATCAGAGATACAAAATTAAATTCTCCTAGCGTGTCTAAATAAGAGGAGACTAAATCAGTATTTTGTTTTATATTTATATTAAATTTATATTTGTATTAAAAGTTACTAACTTACATGGTGGATACTACTATCAAATAATAATGGGTCAGTTAGTGAGAGATACACTTCCAATAATAAATGATTTTTGTCCTAACATGATACAAATTAAGTTCCACATTGTTATGAATTACTCTCAACGCCTTCACCACGACCCTTGCTGCTTGATTCCATATTTTTATTAGTGGTCGCATACTATCGATAGTTTCAGATAGTCTCAAGAATTACAATTGATAGTACTATTGAAAATATACCAATTTTGCACATGATACGGAATTAAGGGATCTGGAAATCATCCGTGTTTGCATACGGGATGTTTCTTTAATTTATTCATTAAGTAATAGATGGTGCACAAACAGAAAGCAGAGACATAAGAAAACAGGATACACTTATGGTGGCGTGAGTATATGATAAAAAATTAGATCTTTTAGAACAGATTATGATCTAGTACTGAATTGCAGAGTGCGTTCTTATAAATTTTGTTTATTTTTAATTGTATTTTTTTGAATCAAATGTGAAAATGAAATTGAAAAATACTAAAAACATGCAAGTTTAAACTATCGATGATATCCGACCACTAATTTCTATCACACCTAAATAATGTATGTGAGGGGAGATCAATTTCTTCCAACAATATGTCTTTAGATAACGAACTTTCGATTAATATTATAATGCCATAATTAGAACTAAGAATATTTAATTTTAAGTCTTTTAATTTAGTTCGCAAGCCACTAACATTTTGACAGAAAATTTGCAATGGTGATAGAATCAGTTTTTTTAGTTGTATTTTTAACAATTTTTGGAACGCTGTTTTTAAAGTCTAATATCTTGTTCTCCATTAGATCTTCTTTCCTCAAGTTCTGTTCTCACCATGTCAAATAAATCCCTTTGCATCTTAGTTTCATCATTATTTATCTTAATATTAGAATATTCTAATTTTGTCTTGTTCTTCAATATCTCAAGAACAGCATTTCTATTTGAAAAAACTACTTTGATTTCCTTTAAGTTCCCTAACACCTCTTCAATGTTAAATACCATCAAGTTATTCGCTTTTCTGTTCTCAAATGTAAGCAAAATACCTAGTTCGCAAATAGCATTTTTTTTTAATTTGAACATTTCTTTTATCAGAATGGTTGGCGATAAGAGAAAATCAAACTCAATATCTTGGACTTGCCTTAATTTGGTTATTTCACAGTGGGCAGTTATTTTCCTGTAAAGAGTATAGATTGAAACAATTGTTTAATATGTTATTTGGTTAGAGTTACTCCCTATTTTCTTCTTTTAATAAATATTGGGACCAATACCTACCAAACATGTGGATTACGTTTATACTATTGGTTAGTGGTAGTAAAATTCCAGATTCATAATTGTCGGTATTTGGTATTAAAATAAAAAAACGCCCTGTACATGTTATTTCACAATTTTATTCAGTTTGTCATGCTAGAAACAGTGTTTACATTAAAATTACTAAGTTTTCATTATCACAGAATAAGTGAACACCACTTTCACTTGCGCTTAACTAAAACACCCGTAAAATAAAAAACAACAGCTAAAAAGTTAAATTCGACTTTAAGACCACATTCTTCAAAAACCATTCAATCGGAAGCATCAAATCGATAATACTATATTAAAACAAACAAAAAAAATATAAAATCCACCATCTTCCATCACAGCTTTTATATTAACGTTTCAGTTTTTAACCCTTGTAATCGCTAATCGATAAAGTCGACCAAATCGTAATGCATTTTCAGCTTAAACAATTAAGTTCCTTCACCATTACTCCATCATATTACAGTGAATGTCAAAAATATAGTCTACTATACAGGGTGAGTCACCTGTAATGCCTCAGTCTGTAGAGCGAAAACTATTTAATTTTTTAAATCTCTTTTCACAGCAAGATGTATATGAGAAAAGGCAACAATTTAAAAATAATTTCAATTACACAGAGTTCTCCAGGCAAGTGCTACACAACAAAATTAGTTTTTTTTTTTTTAATGGAACACCCTGTATTTTATTTGAATTGCCCTCGCTTTTCCCATTATAACAATACCAAATATTATGGAATTACACAGGGTATTTCACATGCTATAAATAGTAGTTTTATATGAAAATCATATCAATTTCAAGTTATAAAATTTTAAAAAACCGACTTCAATTCAGATGCCATTATAAATTGAGTTTACTGATTTTATCATAGATATCAATGTATATGGAACCAGCCCTGACGAACGCCTCTTTCTAACAAAAAAAGAATCATAAAAATCAGACGTGCTAAAGAATTATCGTTGAACATACATAAAAAAAAAATGAAAAGTTTGATAATTTTCTCATGGACACAATTATTAGATCTTGATCAAATTGATATGGGACCACGCCTGAAGTACCCCCTTTCTAACAAATTCTAATCAAAGAATTATCGCTGAACAAAAACAAATATTCCGACGAATTGAGAACTTCTTTTTTGAAGTCTATTAAAAATACTCTGCTAACTATGATTTTTCATTTATTTTGTCAATATGGAAGATCAAAGTTGACAGAGGATTTTTAAATTTGGGATACGGACTTATATTTTGATTTTCATTTTCTAACGTATCTGTTACCGAAAATTCGCCATCTTTACAAAATAAATGAAAAATCATAGATGGTCGAAGATTTTCAAATTTGGTACATATGGACCTAGATGATCATTGTAACCAACTTTTTGTTTCGGCCATATCTGCAACATAAAATGCACTTTACTCAGGAGTAAAATAGTTTTTTGAAAATTTTCTAGACATCCTTGATTTCTCAAAACTGAAATTTTAAATCTAGAATTTTGTACCTTTTCCAAGGGACACACTGTATATCAATTAAAATAATTTTTAAATCGTTGCCTTTACTAATATACATCTGTGTAAACAAATTAAAAAAAAAAAAAAAAAAAGAAATTAGTTTTATCTTTACAGACAGAAGCGTTACCGGTGGCCCACCCTGTATAATTATGTATATATATTTTTTTTCTTATTTCAATATTTAATTAAACTAAATCAACTGTTTTCAACCATTTTAAAAATTAAACATTTTTATAACGTTAAATTTTGATTTTATATAAAAAAATAATAGTTTTGACACACACTGTAATCAATAAATAAAAAATTAATATAATTTAATAAAAAAAAGCAAAAAGCATTTTTTGTACGTTTGATTAATTTAAGTCATTAAAATACATTATATAAATAAAATATAACAACTACATAATAATATTTATGAGAATAATTTAATTTCGGTAATATTTCTTGATAACTTAATACCGACGTTATTCCATAATTATATAAAAACTTTTAAAACTGATTAAAATAATGTGTTTTTTTTTTTAAATATATTGTACACAACAATTAACTTTTGTACAAAATTTATTGATTATACCGAAATAATCAAAAAGTCCCATTAAAAATTTTGCCAAACCATATTTCGAAAATGCTTGAATAATAGTGTTACTTATACAGGGTGGCCCAAAAAATTTTATGCAAATGAAAAGTTTCTTACATTTCAAAAAATAATCTTGATAAAAAGTTCTGCATTACTTGGAAATCTATACTAGAGCATCAAATTTTGTAAAATATAGATAATAAATAGGGAAAATAAAAAAATAAATGAAAGGGATTTAAAAATATATTCAATTTAAATCATTCCACTTACTTTTAAACGGTTTCATGCTTAATTATGGATTTCCAAATGATGCCAAAGTTTTTATCAAGAATATATTTTTTTGTTAATTTTTTGAGACACGCCGTTTGCACATTCAAAATAAACAGTGCAGAATATAGGTTTTAGAATGCATTACAGTAGAAAATTTAACAGATTTACGCAATGAACTTTCAAGTAACCCAGTATACTCTTGAATAGTTTTCCCTTTAACTTTACTTTCCATCGATATGAGCTTAAGTCAACTGAAATAAAAATGCCAACAGTAAAAGAACGAGCCATTCTAGAATGAAATAATTAATTGAAATTTAATTGTTCTTCCAAATTTGTAGGACGTTGGAATTGTGACAAAATACATGAAATAATGGAGGAAAAGAAGTAAAAGGCAAAAATAATTAAATAAATTTTGGCTTGACCCGTAAAAAAATTAATAGATTACCAATTTACCAACAATTTTAAATAAATAAATAGCTTAAAAATTGATGACTTGTTTTTGATATTAACGTTATTTAAAATTTTCTAATTAATTCTGAAAGTTGAGAAAGCGCCGTCATGTGTCAGAAATGTCTTTTACACAATTACATCTAGCAATTTTCGAAATACAACCTTAAAAACCAGAAAACCAACTTGTTCATGCCAATTTTTAAATGAACACGCCTCGTATAGAATTTAACGATAATAATAAAAAAAACTAGAATTTGGTCGACTCATCCGGATTTTTTACTCCAAATTAATAACAGTTTAAATTCCTAACAATTATACAACAAAATAACGGGAAGTCTGAAAGAAAAAGAAAAATCCAAAACACGTGCTTTCTTCCCTTTTTTTCAACGTTTTTCAACGTATGTTACCGAAAAGGATTGATGCAATTTTTTAATTGGTCAATGCTACTCTGCAGTTCTCTTTTTTCGTTCTCTCTCCTGAATAAAATAGAACACAACTCGCGCTGCCTTCTCTCCAAAGATCTCACCTCCTTTTGCTTTTTAGAATTCTCGTCAACCAACATCGATTGACGTTTCCTCAGTTGACACGATTGGTCGTTCCTGTCTGAAAAAAAAAAACATAAAAAATATTATGGCAGTTGGAAGGGAATTTCCGATGCACGGCATTAACAAAGAGTTAATAAAATGCTTGGAGATTTTTTTTTATAAATTTCCAATAAACTTATTAATTTAATTTCTTATAAATTTCTTATTAATTTAATTTTTTTAATTTCCTGTAAATCTCATATAAACTTCTTAATTTCCTATAAATTTCTTATCAATTTAATATCTTTTAAACTTTTTATAATTTTCTTATTAATTTAATTTCTTATAAACTTTTTTTAAATTTCTAATTCATTTAATTTCTTATAAAATTCCTTATAAGCTTTTTATAAATTTCCTATAAACTTTTTATAAATTTCTTATTAATTTAATTATAATTTTTTTTTATAAACTTATTAATTTAATATTTTATAAATGTCTTACTAATTTAATTTCTTATAAATTTCCTGTAAATCTCATATAAACTTCTTTATTTAATTTCTTATAAATATCTTATTTTATTTCTTATAAATTTATTATTAATTAAATTACTTCTAAACTTTTTATAAATTTCTTATAGTTTTCATAAATTTATTATTTAAATTTTTTATAAATTTCTAATTAATTTCTTATACATTTTTTATGAACTTTTTATAAATTTCTTATAAATTTTTTATAAACTTGTTAATTTCATTTTTTTATAAATTTCCTATAAATTAATTTCTTAAAAATTTCTTATACCCTTCAGCAGAGGCAATAAACTTTTGCCAACAAAATTCAGACTTGTAATTGAGAAATAAATTATTTTTTTCACTTAGTATTTAGAAAGGCTAATTTTTCTGACTCGTAACTCATAAATATATTGTTTCGACTTATAATTCAGAAAAAATAGAATGATCTTAGTTATAAGTCGGTAAAATCTACTTTTCCGTATTAAGTTAGAACTCGGAAAGACATTTTTCGGAATTGAAACTCAGAAAAATGAATTTGTTAGTCTTAGAACTCTGAAAAATCCTTTTTTTTTTTAACTCAGACACATACATTTTTTCCGACTTGAGAAAAATCGATTTCCCCGACTTGAACTTATACATTTCTTGTTAATTTAATTCTTATAAATGATGACATTCAACAGCATTTTATTACAATTTACCTTTTGAATATTTCTTATATGCCTCAATGATGTTCGCTATGCCCGGCCATTTATAACTATTATTAAAATCTTCTTTGACTACGGAAATGTTTTCTTTAAATCCATCTAATTTGTCAGCGGTTTTGATACTGAAGCGATTACCTAGAGATATTGTGGAGAGAGGGAGAGGGTTATTCGTTCCTATGTCCGGATTGATAAAATTTTTACAGTCTTGTTTTCTGTCGATGTGCAAATTATGAATTTTGTACTGGTGCGTAATGGGTAGCTTCAAATGTTCTTCATTGATCTTGTTATCGATAGAAAGCCTGTCGTTTTTCTCCGACGTTATTTTTTGAAGTTTTTCGGTGAATTTCGTAACGGAGGACTCGCAATTTCGTTTAAGACGATCTTTGACCACCTCCAGCCAATTTTTTTCTAATTCTAAAATAAGATTTTAAAATCGTGTAGTTTTACAACAGTAATAAAAAATCGCGACCTTGCTTCAAAAGTGACATAACTCGATATTCACATCAAAACCTCAAACATGACACAGCCTCCCCAGGCTCTTTTAAGCTATGTTGCTTAACATTCATTTTTTAATTCATAGGATATGAATTTTGAGATGTGTCACTTTTGAATGAAAGGTGGGAATTATAGGATCGTTCTGGAAACTAAAGTGAATGATAAATTTACCTTGCTTGTTTGCTGCAGAAACGATTTTTAGACCAAGTAACTGGTAAAAAGCCTTTTTGGCCTTGTAATTTTGCAGCATACTTAAAGTTAAAGTTGATTTCAAAGGCACCGGTAGGTTTAAAGACACAGTTTTCTCTTTTGAAGTCTCTTGGATTGTGCACGGATCGAGCCACTTTCTTTTCTGAAGTTTTTGCAATTCTATAACTGAAATTAAAGTTTCTTACTGATAATGATACATGCTTCCTAAGGTTTGGATACATATATTTTCATAGCCTTCTGATAACTTATAATATGTAAAATGTAGGGATAAAAATAATTTAAATGTATGTAAACTGTTAAATTCTAAATTATTTAATAATAATATAATTCACCCCCTTACGAGTGAATTTTAACCCCAAAAGCTGAGCTTGTGCAGGGAAAGGGACGGCTATTATTATTTGCCGTGGCGCTCAAATAAGATACTTAAACAAAACTTTAAAGTTGCATATATTCTACTTTGCTGAAGTGCAATCTAGAACCAATTATGGAATCATAACCTGGTAAGATTTGACATTCTAAAATGAAAGGTAACAATGGATATTATCTGATATTGACAACTATCTAAACAAAGCAAATGCGAAATTTGCAGGTACGCGATTTCCGAGACAGGGATTTCAAGCCCTATTTTGACCGAATTTGGGGAGAATCTGTGGATGCTGGACTTTCAAAGATGTTTATCCAGTGGCGGTTTGCCCGTAAGGGCACTTGGACACGTGCCGTAGTATAATAAACAAAAAAAAAATAACTTACATATTTTATATTTTCCTCAATGCCTATTATTATTTTATCTAATATTCAGCGCAAACCGCGTTGGCACGACACTGAACGACGGGGCGTTGAGCGACGTTCCGAGAATTCCGAAATTAAGTGGAAGATGGGGACAGGGCACAGTAAATGTGTGCCTCTGTTGTTTTCTCTCTCATTATGATGCGAAAAACAAGGACGACAATATCGCTTAGCAAGCAATGAACACATGCGATGGATTATACGTCACAAGCGGGGCGCTGTCCTCATCGTGAGTGATGTACCCATGGCACAGATTATCTAGACCAGATACGAATGTACGCAGCGACATCTTTACCGGCTCCCTCACAAAGGCGATGCCGGTTTCGGCTTAAGGTGCGCTTTTGTTGGACCATGATAATAATTTATTTATTGTGATTACGAAAAAACGTTAGTTGGACCATTGGAATAGTTAAGAAATAAAACTAAAAAGAAAAATTACTTTTTTTTATAAAGCAGTCAAAAATATAATGAAAAAAAAATCAATAATATTTATAAATGGGACAAAATTTTAATTTTTCTTTTGGTTTTGTCTGACTTTTTCGAGGATTTCAAATCTCTGTTTGCATATTTAAGAGTATAAAAAATTCTGAGTCTTATAAATAATTTAATGGTGTACATTTTCGCAAATTGTTTGCAAGGATGACCAAATTCTATTTTGCTCATCTCAAAAAGGTATGCGTTGGAAATTTCAGGCTTAGTTGACAAACTATCAAATAGAGATATAAATATTTTTTCTAATTTGAAAATATAAGAGAAATTTTTCGCTGGGAGATTTTAAATTGCCAAACACCTTTCTTCTGAGAAATTTACGCAAATTAAATAGCCACATACATAGTTAAATGCATTTTGAGTGGTCACATTTAGCTTGTTGATCTTTTGGGGCCGTAAATTTCGGTAATTCGTTTTGTAATATATAACAACTGATGCATCAACTCAAATGGAGATGGTTTTGATAATCAGATATGTAAGAGACGGTCGGATTTACGAAAGGTTTTGGAGTTTTTTGAGTCCAATGGAGGTATTAAGTGAACTAGGAATTGACAAAGTACCTGAAAAACTAATAGCACAAAGTTACGATGGTGCTTCCGTAATGAATGGTATTGTTGTAGGGGTACAAGCTAAAATTAAAAACATCTATGCAAATGTCCAATATATTTATTCACTGCTACGCGCACCAATTAAATCTAATAATTAAAAAGTGTTGCTCAATAGATAAGGCTGTAAGAGTTTTTTTTGACAATATCTCTGCATTTTCTGCTTACTTCTCCCGCTCTACAAAAAGAATAAGCGTTTTGGATAGGGTTGTAAAAAAAAACGGCTACCTCGTTCGGCTCCTACACAATGGAATTTTACATCGAAGTGTGTCAATACTATTTGTTTGTAGAGAGGATTTGATTAAAAGTCTCGAAGAAATTATGAACACAGAATTCGATAAAAAACTATTAATCAGACTAAAGGGTTGATAAATTTTGAAAGACAGATTTTAGTTTCTGGTTATTTTTCTTCAGCAAAATAATGCCAAATTGCGATATACTTTTTGATCAACTGCAGAGTAGACAGCTCGATGCTCTCAAGGTTAAGATAAACATATCAAATTTTGCAGCTGCTATTCAAAATATTAGAAATAATATAGACACGCTAATTCATGAAGAATGACAAAATCACAACAAGACCCACAAGAACTAAACTTAAACGACAACACCCAATCAGGTCCAAGTACAAGCAAGAAGAGACGGTTTGTTGAAAAGGAGGACTCCATTCCTAATTTAAGGATATGTAAGGAAATTTGTGATACAATAGTAGTACAGGTAAATGAACGTTTTAGTTTTACTACCCACCTAACAATTGCAAGTTTATTTGATAGTGAAAAATTTAAAGACTACCGAGGTTGTTTTCTAAATGAGGACGTTAAAACTGTGTGTAGTTTATTTCCAAACGTAAACAGCTTAAAATTCAAAAACGAACTGTCCATACTTTACACCCGAGATGACTTTATGCAACACAATGGGGCCGTACCGTTATTACAAATGTTTTTGAGAACAATTTGACAATTACATTTTCGGAATCTGTGGAGCTGCTAACTATCCTGTGTACAATTCCCATGACCACAGTGGAGAGTGAAAGATGTTTTTCGACACTAAAACGTATTAAAACATTTTTAAGGAACACTATGTGCCAAGATAGATTGTGGGCGTTAGCCATTTTATTAATAATATCCATCATCGGATCGATGATATATTTTGGCCATTCTTCCAGGACTCAGGAATGGTTTAACATCAATTATATACTGAAAGGCTTGCCCAATAGAAGAATTTTGGTCATGATTGTCTCGAAAGGTTTAGGAAAACGGTTGGGAAGACCGCAAATTCATAGCTTAAACGATTGTCTAAATATTAAATTTCAAAGTTATTGGATTCTGAAATACAAATTAACCCAAAATCCTTCCCTTCTCATTGAGAAGATTCCGAATCAATATGGGTTCGTTGAGCAACTTCAAGAATAACGTAGGTATGGGCACTTTAAGAAAAACACAAAATGTCGATAGGTCCCCTTCTGCATTTTGACGAAAACGGTCAAAAATTATTACGTTTTTTTCATAGCATCTTATAGTTTTTGAGTTCTTTCCAAAAATGTGATCCATTTTTGCCCATCTCTAGAGAAAATGCCCCAAAATCGCCGTTAAACATTTAAACAATTATAAATTTCTTATAAACTTCTAATTAATTTTTTTATAAATTTCTAATTTATTTCTTTATAAATTTCTAATTTAATTATAGATTTTCTTATAAATTTCTGATAATTTTTCTATAAATTTCTTATTAATTTAATTATAAATTTCTTATAAACTTATTAATTTACTTTTTTATAAATTTCTAATTAATTTAATTTTTTATAAATTTCTAATTTAATTTCTTCTAAATTTCTGATAAATTTATTTTTCTACACCCACATTGATATAAGCTTATTAAGCACAGACTACAAAACGAAAAGGTATGCCATTACGTACAACTAAACGAATATATTTCATATCCCTTCTACCTAGTAAGAAAAAAATATAAAATTCACCAATCACAGTTTATATTTTGATCACACAACTCTTATTTTTTAAATTTTAAATAAGTGGCTATTCTGTCAAACTGACAATTAGTGTATTTTTAATTATTGAGATTAAATGTACGTAAAAATTAGTTATTCTTGTGTAGAATCGACAAATTTCCATTTTTATTTCGTCCATATTTACAAATAAATTTTAATCAAACTATATGAAACTAATTTAATTTCGAGTATTAAAACAAAAATCATAAGTGTGGAGATGGATATAAAGACACGGCGTTTGTTTTCCGCTCGAGAGGCCCCTGTTCAAATCTGGGCTGGGAACTAATTTTTTTTTTCATGTTTATTTTATATAATAAATTAAATTTGCTATTTTGTCTTACTAACCTAAAATAATTTTTTGAATATGTAGATTTTCGTTAGTGGTTCATATATACTGTATAACCCGAGTGGATTGTCTATATCCACTCTCGTTGCACAAACTACTATAGTAATTTAATTTCTATTAAACTTAAACATGTCCTATTAATTTAATTTCTTATAAACTTATAAATTTCTAAATCATAGAGGTTCTTCAACTGCTCAAAGGTGGCCATTTTCATACTTTTTTTTAATACTTTTTTTTTCATAAACTGATTTGGAGATTTTTATTTTCGTTTATAAATTTCTTATTAATTCAATTTCTTATAATTTTCCAATAAATTATTTTATTTAATTTCTTATAAAATCGTTAAAAACTCTTTATTTAATTTCTTATAAATTTCTCATAAATTTCTTATACAATTTAATTTGTTATAAACTTATAAATTTCTTATAAACTTCTTAATAATTTAATTTTTAATAAATTCCCTATAAATTTTTTATAAATTTCGTATAATTCTCTAATACATTTCTTATAAATATTTAATTTCTTATAAAAACTAATAAAAAAAAAATGTTAGGTTTAATTTAAGAAAGAAACAGACTCTTTGAGATAAAGTTATTAGTATAGGAATTTATCTCGGAATCAGATCTATGAATCTTGTTTATTGCATCAATAGGGACATTTATAAAATAAACTTTGTAGAAATTAAGAGAGGATCATTAATGTATTTATCATTATTGTGTATTCGAAATTTTTTGAAAACACATATGGCACTGAAATTTCCCGCTTTTAAAATGAGAGAAATTATAAGTTTTTCAATGTAGAGATCAATAAAGAATTGAATTAATTAAAACGCAGTGAAAATATTTGTATAGGACTCCAATTATAGGAATTTTATTTATGACTTACAATTTTTCATCCTATGCGTAGTCAGTTGCAAAGTCTTCAAAAAATTCATCTTGAACGGGCTCGAATCCATCTCCAGAGGTGGTCCGTTTTTAATAACAAGATCTATGTCGACATCACTGCTATCGCTATCACTAGATAGAGAAACATCACTATCAGACCCATCAGAATAACCGTAAACCATAATCCCATATTCTACACTGACTTTATCACTTTTGCTCTTCGGATTCCTCTTCTTCTTTTCCTTCTTTCGATTCAATCTTTTGCGAGTTGCCAAATCTATTTTGCTCAGTCTTTGACGTTTAGCTTTGACAGGTATATTTGGTATGTTCAGTATGGTAAAATTGGATTCTTGTATGGCTGATTTTTTCATCGTCTCAATTTGCTTTTTTGAATTCTTGTTTAGTTTCTTATGACTTATGGTTGCGGTTGTTTGAGGTAACGGATTATTTATATTACTATTATTATTATTACTTTCAGATATAGTACAAGATTGTACTGGATAATTTGGTGAAGGTGCGGGCAATTGTGGACTGCACGAATGATTCGGAATTTTATCATCTATAATAGGAGTGAGCGCATGTTTTACTTCAGAGCTTTTATCTCGAAACATAAAGTCATCATTTTGATCAACGTTAAGTACTTTTTTTGGTATTTTTTTTGTCAATGCGACATCTTTAGATAGTATAGAATCTTTATTATTTTTAAACTGGGTTATATTTATTCCATTTTTAATTTTTACATATAAATTAGAAGCTGACTCATTTTTCGTTTCAACATTTTTAGAATCATTATCCAAACGGAGTTTTTTTGAAGACATTATTGTTTCGTCTAAGGTTAATTGTTTCTTTTCACCAACAATGGCTTCAATGCTAAATTGAGTCAACTTTTTCCGATTACCCATACAAAGATCATCTTCTTTTATATTTTTAGTTTTGTCGGTTGATTTCAAAGACGCTATCATAGACCTCCTGGCTAAAACAAATAAGTTTTTTCATGCACTACAATGGGGAATTCTCTTTTTTTTATTTAAGACACTGATAGATATTTACGAGCTCATGCAACTATATGTTGGGACGATCTAAACATAAAACTGAACTAAGATTTTACATTATTTTTATTATTGGAATCATTCAAATAAAGAATAATCGCTAATAATTTGTATTCATCTACTTATAACGGATGGATATCGTTGATGAAACCGATGATGATGATCTACTTTCCCTATTATTTATTATTGTGCAGATACATGATATGCTAAAAAATAATAACATTAGGAAACAAAAATAAATATTACAAAAAATAAACTAGGGACATAATTATATTTAGAAAAAAAAAATATTTTAAAAACCAGATGAATTATTAATAGATTTGGTCGCAAATTGATCAATGTCCAGTTTAAAAAAAAAAAAACATTCTTTCAGATAGTAAACATCTATCTTCTTATAAATGTTTCAGAACAAGAAAGACATCTAATTAACTAATCAAATTTTCTCACTTAGAACTCGAAAAAATAGATTATTCATACTTAGAACTCGGAAAAACGATTTTTCTGACTTAAAGACTGCTTTAAACTACACAACTTTTTGTACAATATTTGATACAATTTCTTGTACAGTTTAAAATGTGTAGTATGATACAGTAAATTGTTTAAAAAAGTCGATTTCCAGGTGGTTCCATTGTTACACTGGAATTTAGAGGAACTATCCGTAACTGTTAAGCACATTTACGGATTTGTTACTACCCATCTCTCGGTATAACCGAACTTCGATTTTCATTCAAGGACGACTCAGTTGAGTCTGACTTAGCTGAGTCTGACTCACCTGAGATATTTTTTACAGGTCTATGTCGGAATAATCCATTTTCTTCGATTTTCATTCAAGGACGACTCAGCTGAGTCTGACTCACCTGACATATTTTTTACGGGTCTACATCGGAATAATCTATTTTTCGAGTTCTAAATCAAAATATCTATTTATTCGAGTTTTAACTAAGAAAAATCCATTTTTCTACTATCCCTAGCCAAAGTAGGCTTTTATGCTTTGAAATCCAACCGCTGAGCGACCAAGTTGACAGCTTTGTTGCTCGCCTAATATAAATTAGTTATAATATAAAAATAATTCTTTTTAATAAATGATTTTCAAGTTATTTGTACGTAGCTACATGTTTTTTTTGTTTTATTACCCAAGTTAACATTGACTTTGAAAATAAACTCCTTTTTCATGATTAACGCAGATATAGGCAACACATTGTACACTACTTACAACAAATTTTCAGTTTTTATATTTATTGCTCAAAATGTGATCGTAAATGCATTTTGAGCGAAAAGCGGGAAACTTTCTGTCTCAAGTATCACTTTTCGCTCTTAATGCACAAATAGCTATTTACAGTTCTAATTCGGAATAATATATTTTTCTGATTTGCGAGTCAGAAAAATCTCAGTGATTGGTTATTAGCTAAAAAGTCCCCAGTGTTAATGGGTTTCTGCCAAAATGTATAGGTGTCAATTATTGTACTATGTCCTAAGAGCTACAAACTTGACTGTCACAGGAAGTGTCAGATTTATAGTAATCTGCACAACACATTTGGATGATCACTGAAGAAACAGTCTACTCAAAGTATCATCAAATTATAATCAATGTACCTTTATTATCATTACGTAATCATTGTGCTTGTTTTTTCTTAATTTGTTAGTAATGCCTTTTATGCATTTTTTAATGCTTAAATCATTAGATCAGTTTTTTTATAAATAAACCTAAAGAGACAAAAATATTTCTAAAGATATCTTTCTGGAGAAAAAAATTGAAAGTTTTTAAGCTACGTCCCAACCTTTTGTAAATTAGGAGTATTCCCCATCATTTACTTAAAATTCGCAACCAAATCGAACCATAAAAAATAATTAAATAGTTAAAATTTCGCAGAAAACTTTACCTAGAATTGTTTCATTCTTGCGGCAGTTCTGAGAGACAGTAGCAGAAGGTCAGGCGGTACTCTCACTAACCTTCCCGTCCGAGCTTTGAACATCATCAGACTTCCTAACGACGTTTTGAACTTTACTCGACGTTACGCTGTTGTCGATCGCTTCGTTATTAACAGCTGGACTTTTGACTTTGGGAGTCGGCGTACTCGGTTTGGGCGACATCTTCGCAGAAGAACTATTACTAGAAGTTTGAGGCCCCAAATTAATCAGGGGTCCTGATGGTTGTATCACAGGGCTTTGACGCTGACTAAGATTAAGCGTATAGTTTGAAGAATTCATGGGAGAATGTCTTTGTAAAGAGGGACTCGATCTGGGAATGGGATAGCCCTGGGAAGGATTAGGCGGCGTCATAAAAGCGGAAGTAAGAGGCGATTGTCGAGTGGGAGTGGTCAATCCGATGGGCGAAGGAGGGAGCATCGAGCTGGGATGAAGCATCGGATACATTTGGGATTGAGGAGACATGCGCGCCGACGAAAGATGCGGGGATATTCGGGATTGGGCTTTTTCTCTTTCGCGTTGGGCTCTCTCCTTTTCTCGTTGTTCTCGTTCCCTTTGGTGTTGGAGATCGCGTTCTATTAATTCTCTTTCGTGGTACTCATCCTTTCGGGAAGCTGATAATCGTCGGTGTTCTTCTTCTAGTTTTAACCTTGAGTAAAATTGAAAATGTTTGTAATTGTATTACTATTAGACTGAGAATCGGCCATATAGAATCAAAGCGAAATTAAAAATTTAATTGTTGCTACATTGTTAAATCAACACACCCTTCAAAATAACGCACAATTTTAAGATTGTTGAAGCTATAAATAAAAGAGAGTTTGAATTATAGACAGGAATAATTTCCTTGTTTATAGTTTAACATAACGCCCTTATATTGTATACGACAACACTCTTATTCTACATGAAAACAGATCAATGAATCAATAATTACCTTTCATGCATATATAAGGGCATGGCTGAACTCGGAATCATATACGGCATATACGGATGGCCGATGGGAGGCCAAGGTGATCTCAATACGCCCAATCTTTCATAGTACATTTGTTCTTCTAATAGAGGTATAGTCGGATAGGAACCGTACGGTGGATAACCCGGTATTTCTAAGCTTACAGGAGGGTGAGGTACCCTGTGAAAACAAATTAATCTTATATAAAATGTTTTCGTCACAATAAAATTAATCTCATATTTGAAGATATGAGTGAATAACATTTTTAAATCGATGTTTTGTTACGATATTCTTTTAATAGATGCAGTATACAGGGACAGGGGATAAAGGGATATGGGATAAGGTATAAAGGGATAGGGGATATGTGAGAAAGGGACGGGGATAGAGGAATATGGGATAGAGGAATATGGGATAGAGGAATATGGGATAAAGCGATAGGGGATATGAAATAGAGGAACATTGGATATGGGATAAAGGCATACAAGATAAAGGGATACAAGATAAAGGGATATGAGTTAAGGAACAGGGGGATAAGAGGTACATGGATGATATATGTGATAAGGGACAAGGGGGTAAAAGGTAAATGGATGAGATAGGGGATAAAGGGATACAGAGACATGAGATAGGGATAAATGGATATGAGATAAACGGGACAGAGGATAAATGATGGGGATACATGGATAGGGGATAAATGATGGGATACAGAGATAAGGGATGAATTATGGGGATACAGGGATAGGGGATAAGGGGCAGAGGGTTAAGATATAAAGGGATATGAGATTGGGTATATAGGATATGAAATAGGGGATAAAGGACTTATATATGGTGAACTATCAAAATAAGAAACTTTAAGCTCAAATATCTCCAAATAGTTTAAAGTATGCGTTTGTTACATTAGACCCTTCACCCGCTTATGTCTTCATTTCTGCTTATTTGTATGAATTAAATATCATCTAGTGTTCCATATATATATATATCGACGATTGGTTTATTTTTCTTACATAGGTTTTTTATCTTCATGATGCATATGGAACACAGTAAGATGATGCAGTCCCTAGTAAAAAATATTGAAATAACAGTAATTAATAATAATAAATAAATGAAATATAATGATTATTTAACGTAATAACCCATAACCAATAGAATTTTAAAATGTTTAAAATAATATTAAAGTATTTTCGCTATATATTGCGAGACGGCAAGCATCCCCTCCAATTCTTCTTCGAGCCTAACGTGTTGTTTCCACAAATTGTGGGTGGAGTTATCGCAGTATTTACCAAAACTACTCAACAAAGTTTAAAGAAAGGTTTGTTTGTGTGAACATGTAATTCGATTATTTCGTATGAAATAGATTTTCCATTAATATAGTATTTTTTTTAATGATTTTGAATTAATATTTAATGCATTATCTTTGATAAATAAATGTTGATTATTATTACCTTTCTTCAGGTCTGTATGGTTGAAACCCACTTCTAGAAAGGTCCGACATAGAGCTTGCAGGGTAACGGTCCACGTGGTTGTTGGGTAAACGCGGTTCGTACGATCGAAGAGCTGCATTGCTTGCCGCGTTGAAAGGAGGCACTTCCGCTGGCTGTTTGGATTTGTCTGGTAATGATACACCTTTAAAATTAAATACAAAAAAAATGCATAAAATACTCGCGCGATTATTAATAAATTAGTACGAAACAAGTAAATTATACATGCATACATTTCTAAAAACACTACAAAACGATACAAGGGTATTTGTAAGTCTGTTCCATAGATAATAGATATTAAAGATGCAATATACAGGGTAGGCAATTTAAAAGTTCCACCTCATCTTATCTTGGTTATTAACTGAGGTATGAGAATAACAATTAATTCAATAATTTCAAATATTATCCATATCTCAAAGTGGTCCAAAGTAGATTAAGTAGAAATTTCTACTTAATTCAATATTTTTTATTAAAAATAAAATTAATACACCTATAATTATAGAAAAATGGAAAAAGGGGGGTAAAACAAAACAAAAATAGTATTTAATCAAAAATATATAATAAAACAATTATCAAAAGTACCACCTTTATTTAAAGATAATTCCAAAGGTTTTTTATTTTTTTCATTTTTTCTTATCGTTTTTCACAGCATTGTTGGAGGTACTGCCGCACATTTATTTAAAAATCTATGTTGAACAACTTGTTTAGTTAATACTCCATCTTTTTTATAGTTTTTTTTTTAACCCCACAAAACAAAATAGTCCAGATGCGTTAAGTCTGGGCGTCTTGCAAGCCAAATAAAAATAAAAAATAGATAGCGATTTTCTGTTACCTCCGGAAAGACTGGAAGTTATGACCTCAAATAATAGTTGAATCTGTTATAAGAAAGTTCTTAAGCCCTCAAACAAAAAAATCATTTCAGTAACTCCATTATTAGTTCAGATAAGTGTGGGTGGAATTTTTAAGAGCTTTACCAATAACAAAAATGCTCAGATACGCTACTGGTGTAATTTGGGTTAGTCTTAATAGGAACACTGAGGCTTACAAAGAGTTTTTAAAGGAAATGCAATCCCATATTCTCTGCTTTAAACAAGTTATTAGTAACACATTTAGAAATGTTATCCAATATGGCTGCCATTTTGCCAACCGGCACAACATCTTTAATAAAACTGTCCAATAAATTAGAATTTTCAATAAAAAATTGGGTTTCATTTAAAAATAAAAAATAAATTGGAATTTACTGTTATTTCCGGAAAAACCGGAAGTATGCTATGCTGTCACAAAATAATTGAATTTGTTATAATAAAATTCTTGTTCAAAGTTTTCAAACAAAAAACAATCAATTCTATATCTCAAATATTGACTAAGATAAGAGCGGGTAGAATTTTTGTGGTTTACCAATAAAAAAAAGTTTAGGTACATCAATGGTGAAATTTGGGTCACTCTCAATGGGAATACTAAGGCTTACAAAGAGTTTTAAAAAGTTATAGATTCCCTAGTAACATATTTAGAAAAAGTATTATCCAAAATGGTGGTCGTTTTGACAACTGACAGAACATTTTCAATAATATACGGTCCCCGAAAAATTGGTGTCCATAAAATTTATTATATCAATTGATAAAAATATATTATATCTAAAAACCAACTGGTCTAAATTGCATTTGATCTAAAATACCTTTGGGCAAAGTCTATCAATTTAAAAGAGCATTGGTTTAAATTACATTTGTTCTAAAAACATTTATTTGAAATTAAAGCAAACTGTGAAGAGTATAATATTGAATGCGAAGCATTATACCGGGTGTTCTAAATTAAAGCGTTACAGCTATATACCGCTTTTTATAAAACAAAAAAAACGTTTCAGACGAAAGTTTTATAGTTTTATAGGGAAAAACTTTTGGCTAAAATCGTTTTTTATAGCTAACCATAATATGACCAACTTTTTTTTCGCGCAGCAACATTTTCAAGTAGCTGTTACTCAAAAAGTAAAAGTCCAATAAAAAAAATATTTCCCTCTAAAGTTTCTTATTTTTTTATGTACTTTAAGAATATGTAAGAAAAAAATGGAATTCCCATTTAAAAAAACAAAGTTCACCTCGATATGGCCATATTATGGTCAGCTATAAAAAAATTAATTTAGCCAAAATGTTTCCCCCAAAAAACTATAAAACTTTTGTCTGAAACTTTTTTTTCTAAAATGCATATTTTCGGCGGTATTTAACTGTAACACTTTAATTTGAACACCCGGTATATGTCTTCATTCTAGTTTTAGGTATAATTTTGCTTCAAAGCAGCAAGCTATGGGTCCATGCTGCACAGATTAAGTAAATTCAAGTTTTTTATTTATTTTTCTCATTTTAGGTATAATTTTTCTGCGAAGCGACCCGCTATTGCTCCAGACTGCACAGGTTAGGTAAATTAGTTAAGTTTTTTTTTAATTACATAAAATTAGAAAATTACCGTATTTTTCAGACTATAAGACGCAACGGACGATAAGACGCACCTCAAATTTATAAAATTATTTTTAGAAAAATATATTTTAATGTTACCTTCGGACCATAAGACGCACTCTAAATTTGAGTCAATTTTTCTATGTAAAAATGTGCGTCTTATAGTCCGAAAAATACGGTAAACCATGTAAACCTGTGCGGCCTGGGGCTATCGCGGTATAGAACCGCAGTTTTGAATTATTTTCATGTTTTAAATTGTTCTTAGAACAAATGTATGTTACAGCCAAAGTAACTAGATCAAATATATTTTAGATCATCTGCGTTTAGGCCATTTGATATTAAGATCAAATCGTTTTATACCAATTTTCCGGAACCCAAATATTCTTATCGAAATATTTCAAGAAATTTAAATTAAATTAAAATTTTCAATAAATAAATTGTGGTTTTCATTTAAAAATAAAAAGTAAATTACGATTTGTTTTTCCGAGAAAAAAAAAACGATGCACGTCATCATGTTGTCACAGAATAATTGAATCCGTTTTAATAAAGTTATTAGTCCATACTTTCAAACAAAAAATCATTCAGATATCTCAAATTATAATGAAGATAACTGAAGTAGCACACGTTTTTAATCTTACGATTGTTGCTAGTTAAATGGGGCAACTTGGTGACAGACGTACTTTGGTTAGTAGCATCATAATGAACTATTAGATTTACTTATAAGATGTTTAATATAATGTTTTAGGTAGGTTTTTAAAATACTTTGGAGATAATTGGAAACTACTTTTGAGTACATGTTTTTCAACATACTTGTATAACAGCTACCGATTATCAGATTTTTATTTTTGTTTCATTCTAAAAGTAATTTTTCATAATAACTTTTTATTTTTTTATTGACAATTAAATGTTGGGACGGTAAACGAATATTATTAAGTAGGCCTGAAGCACAAAATATTTGTTAATTCAGTTAATAAAATACTTTCAAAACTTTATTCCTTTTTAAAATGATGAAAGATGGCCCTATACCACAAAAATTACTCGAAATTATTATCGAACAATATAGTGGAGGAAAATTCTTAGAAAATAGCGACTGATCAGAAAACAGCCAAATCATCAGTGGGTAACATTAAGGCTTAACGGGATCTACTAAAATTAAAGGTAAAAATACTGGTAGACCAAAAATTATAACGAAAGAAAATTAAAAAACAATCCAGCGAAAGCTACAAAAAAAAAGGATAAGGATGTCCATAAAGGAAGAAAAGTAAACCGAATTTACCTGGATCTCTCCTAAACGGTTCGGTATTCGTCTGAGTAATGGACGACTGCTCGGAGGTAGTCGGCACGGTCTGTTGAGCTAAGTTACGTAATGCCGCCGCGAAAGAATGCGAGTACTGATTCGGGACACCCGCACCCGGTCCGGGACCCGGACCGGAAACCGCGTGACCGCTCATTGTTCGGGGTTTCGTAGAACTATTGGCGGACGAGAGCTTGGGACTGCTCGCTACTCCTGAAAATATATACACCTGATGTATACTTCTCATTAACGAACGAAAAACTTTGTTAACAAGACAAATGTATTTTAAATACTACTTGTATTGTAGATGGGAACACTAATTTTTATTTTATTTCTTTTTAGAAGGATAAGGTTTTTTATGAGATTTATAATCTATTTTAGCCGTTAGTTTTTAATCTTCGTTTTAAATGTAGTTCGTCTTTGTTTGTTTAATGTAAATTTTAATTTAAAATGTAATGATGTGTTGTAACACTTAGTTTGTTCAACTTGAATCAAAATATCGTTACTAATAGTTTGCTATACAGTGACCCTTTCTTATAATGTAGCCAACCCGTAATGGAAGTTATATTTTTTCTTCATTTTTATCAAAAATGTTTAACTTTTAAGTGTGTCTGATGATGAAGTAACTACTTTTAAAACTAGTTGCTTATTAAATAATTCTGTGAGAAAGAAAGGAGTTTTCTTCCACCTCCTTACTCAAACAAATCTATTACATATAATACATGGTGTCTACAAAAGTTTGGGACATAGTTTAACTATCAATTTTAAAACCAAAACCAACCAAATGTTTATAAAATTGACTGCAGAGATTTTAACTCCATTTACATTGGACAAACTAGACAAAATTTACAGAAAAGAGTAAAACAAAAAACAAAGATAATATTCCAATAATGAAAATTCTACGGACCTAACAAAATGAACGGTGGAATATTTACATTAAGATATTTCGAAAATGAGCCTAATTATAATAAAGGAACATTTGTATTAAAAAAAGTAATAACTCTGTATACAGGGTGAACTATGAATTCATTGCATAAAAATATTGCAATATAACACAATTTACCTTAGTTCAATTCTTGACATTAAAAAAGATACAGGGTGCTAAAGTACTTTTTTCTATAGAAATACTTCTATAATTTTAATAGCTTTCAATATAATAATCTCCAATAATATGAAATGCTTTTAATGCTTTAACAAATGTTCAAAGTAGCCACCACCACTGACTTCAATACATTTTCGTATTCGTTTATCAAATGATTTTCTGAAATTAAAAAGTATATCATTTCTGAATACATCTACAGCATTTACTATTTTTTGCCAAAGTTCGGCACGAAAATTTATTAATTCTGTATAAACCATTGATTTAATAAAACCCCAAAATTAAAATCCATAGGGTTATGGTCTGGACTGCGTGCTGGCCAAGCATATTGGTTACCTTTGCCGATCCAATATTGTGAAAATTCATTATCAAGATAATTTCATACTGTTCTACTATTATGGGGTGGATCACCATCCTGCATAAAACGTCATGTGTCTCACGATTAATGGCAAATCATCTAACATATCCATGAATCAAGTTAGGAGAAAATTGGGATAGGAATCACCGTTTAAGTTATTTGGTAACTCACCCTATATCTTTTTTAACATCAAGAATTGAACTAAGGTAAATTGTGTTATATCGCAATATTTTTATGCAACGAATTCATAGTTGCTCTGTGACCCATTATTAACGGACCACCCTGTATAATAAAACAGACATAAAAGATTTGTCAACCATTTATTTTAATTTAATCAACTAATTGTAAGCTATTTAATTTTAACTGTAACGCCACTGGCAATTTTTAAATAAGGTAAACCAAACAAATACAAAAACACTGTTATTTAAAAAAAAATTAAAAGTTAAAAATTCTTCATGAGAATTGTTTCATTGTATAATTTCTTCCTCAAATGTGACTATACAAAATTTTCTATAAAAGAATGATAAGTGCCACAATTTAATTTATATACTCCCGAATTAATATTGTAATTAATTTTACCCTTGTTTTTAATATACTTCCCAAACGTATTATTGGTTTTGAAAGTTACATTAATATTTAGATTTTTTAAATATGATGATATCTTTTCACTGGGGATTCCTATACATGTGAGAGTCTTTCTTATAGCTATAATTTTGATCTTTAATTATTTTATAAAGTTTTCTTTGATACGAGGGATATTAACTAATCTATGGATTATCCGGTTGTATGCTGCTAACTTTTGTTTATATGGATGATATGAACTATTTATTATGTATTGTAATATCAGTATGTGATGGCTTATGAAATATCCCAATATTGGCTTTATTCATTTTAATGATATTTAAGTCTAAAACAATTATTGAATGATATTTAAGTCTAAAAAATTTATTGAATTATCCTTCTATATTTCCATAGTAAATTTAATATTGGGGTGTATAGTACTGATAAAAACTAATAAAGAATTTAACTGTCTACTAGTACATACTAGTGAAAGCAGTTAATATGTCAACATATCTATGTTAATAAAAGCAATGTTTACTTAAATTATTGCTATATTAGTCATAAATATTTGTACAAGCAGTGGACTTAATGGGGTTCCCATAATAAAACCTGTTATTTTGAAATTATTTTTAACAAATTTAGGATTTCTTCTTTAATTTTAATATTGGCTCGATTGTGATCTAATAAGTTTTCTACTAGGTTAACTGTTTCTTTAAGAAGTATACTAGGAAATAAGTTTGTTACATTAAAATGATACTAATTTTGTGTTACTAGGTAGTTTAACATTTTTTTTTTATTTTTCTGTTAATTCATAAGAATTTTTTATACTGTACTTTGACTGAAATTTGCAATTTTATTGTGAGTTTAATTAATTTATGCGAAAGTTTTACTGATGGGGCCATGACAAATGATACAACTGGTCTAATAGGATAGTTTATTTAAGAATAAAGTTGTGTTGATCAATGGTTCATCTGTATTAGTTTGAATTTTTCTTTAGAATCAAATATTGCTGTTGAATCCTGAATATTAGGTGTGCGTTATTTTTGATATTTTTCTATTGGATCAAATTTAAGTATGCTGTAATTATTGCTGGCTTGTAGAAATGTAAGAGTTTTGTCAATATAATGTATATTATTAATAGCAATTACTGTATTTCCTTTATCAGCATGAGTAAAAATGATATCATCCTGTTTTGATTTGTACTGTATAGTTTTAATTAGATTACTATCTTAATTTGAATTGTTATTGTTTATGGTACAATTTTAACCTAATTTTAAAAGTGGAATAGGTTCCACATGCTTAAGAGGACATGCATGTTTTTTATATATTAATTTTTACTTTCCCCCAATTATACCATTATACAAGTTTAACCAAATTTTGGAAGTGGTATAATTGGGGGAAAGTAAAAATTAATATAAAAAAATGTGCATGCCCTCTTAAGCATGTGGACATTTACCACTCCTAAAATTTGGTTAAAATTGTACCATGCACAAAGACGGAAAATGTTCCAAAATAGAAAATTTCGTTTATTCTGAATAAATCAGTATATTTTATATTTATATTATTTTATATTTGATCAGACTAATAATATAAACAATATCAAAGCAATAACACAGTTTGAGCCTAAAATATTATTATTTTAAAAGTTATTAAGTTAATAAACTCTTTTTTTTGGTGGGTGCGCCGTACTTATTGGCTCTTAAATATAAAAACAAAAACATTTTAATGAAAATTAATACTAAAATCAAAATAGTCATAAATATTATAAAACGAAAACCAAACAACGCATTAAATTACCTTCCAATTGAGGATAATTATTATTAGGATAAGAAATGCAATTCATATTCTTCGAATTTCGTTTAGAGCACTTTAAAAAAAAATACAACATTAATCACATTTTAACACTTTGCTGCGTTGACGTTAAATACGAAACGACGAAACGCGTAGATGCATCATCGGCGATCGGAGACGATTCGTTGTATTTTTTGGGCGTGTGATTTGACATCAAAGTTTGCGCAACGTCGATAAACGGGCCGTCTGCCGTCGCTGGTTTGGTTGATCTTTCGCGGGACTCAGGTATAGGGAGAGGGGTCGTTAACAAAGGCACCCTAAAAACCGCTGTGTCGTCCGATTACGAGTGGGAATTGAAAAGTAGTTTATTAAGTACGACAACTGAAGAACTTGTACTAAACCGGCTATATTTATCTTAGTGAAATGGCAAACATTCCCCGATTCCTGGCCTTCACGTTTTAAAAACTATTAAAAGTTATGTCTTATCGACTACAACGGCCTTTATATTAAGGCTCAAATATCAAAACACAAAAATAAATGTAAAAAAACCTTTATTTTTCTAATATTAATAAACTAAATCTAAATACATGAAAATAGGCGAATATTACCGAAAATAACATAAATTTCTAGTAAAAAAAAAATAATACCGGAAGAAAATTAACTTTTATATTAAAATGGCAGGTTCCTTATAAAGGCAGTCACATGGGTCACTATCTTCAACAATATTTTCATCATAGTTAGGTTTCTTTTGAGGCACTAAAAGGATCTTATACCATTCTAAGTTAGGACGTTTCCGTCACTCTATTTCAAATGTATTTTAACGTTGTTGGATTGAAATGAAGTTAAAAATACGAAATCGACAAAAAATAAAAAATAGGATATAGCCGGTTTTGTACGCAAGCTCCTTAACTCTGAATTTTTTATTGAGATGTAGTATTTATTACTAATCAATAATACGCTAATTTAGTGGTGATGTAATTTTTATTCCACTGACAATTAAAGTAACAGTAGATTTTTTGGGTGCGTATTATTCATTTTGTTTACCTAAATTATATCGTTTTTTAACTTTTATAAATATTCCTAAAGTAGATAAGGTACATCAAATATACAATCATTTAATTACCAATAATTGCATATCATTAAACTATTTTTTAAGACCTACAAACAATATTTAGAAAAAAACTAAAAGCTGTAAAAACGTATGTGTCAAATTCAATGATGTTTTTTTTAAAAGTTTGGTTAAAAGTTAATTGGCAGTGGAACCAAAATTACGTCACACTAATATGGCGTATTAGTAAAGAAAAACAATTTAAAAAAACAGGAAACAAATATACTAAAAATGAACGAGAGATGGCCGATATTTTAATAACTGTTATAAATTAATTGTTTGTTCAACATACTATT